CATGGGTGGACACAGAGGGGCAGTAAGGGGCTGGCATCGCCCCCATGAGTTACCTCCGGGCTCCCAGAGGTGCAGAGGGGCTCCGTTCAGCCTGGTAGGAGGGTGCTCCCTGCCGGGGCCAGGCTGACTTCTCAGACTCTGTGCAACTCTGTCTGCCTTTCCGCCAAGGTGTGGTTCCAGAATCGGAGAGCCAAATGCCGGAAACAGGAAAACCAGATGCATAAAGGTGGGTGTTGGGGCTTGGGGGTGGGACCCTGGAGCTGGGGGGGGGCCTTCCTGGGGGGGACCCCCACACTCACACCTCCTGTCTTTCACCACAGGTGTCATCCTGGGCACGGCCAACCACCTAGACGCCTGCCGTGTGGCGCCCTACGTGAATATGGGGGCTTTGCGGATGCCTTTCCAACAGGTAGCTTATTTTCCTTCCTCTGAAGAGCCCCGGGGACCCGTCGCCTCCTCCTCTGCTTCCCCCCAACCCACGATGGCTCCCAAATCCTGACACTCCCGGCTCCTCCTGGAGACTAATTGGCTAGCCCTGGGTTGGGGGGTCGGGGAGGGAGGCAGTGGCTTTTCCAAGGGAGCATTTAGAAGCGTCTTGGCACATATTAAATCAGGCTGGACCGGGCGGGCGCGGGGGCTCACGCCTGTCACCCCAGCACTTTGGGAGGCCGAGGTGGGCGGATCACCTGAGGTCAGGAGTTCGAGACCAGCCTGGCCAACATGGTGAAACCCCATCTCTACTAAAAATACAAAAATTAGGCTGGGTGTAGTGGCTCACGCCTATAATCCCAGCACTTTGGGAGGCCGAGGTGGGCGGATCACTGGAGATCAGGAGTTCGAGACCAGCCTGGCCAACATGGTGAAACCCCCTCTCTACTAAAAATACAAAAATTAGCTGGGGGTAGGGGGGGTGGGTGGTGTCGTGTGCCTGTCATCCCAGCTACTCGGGAGGCTGAGGCAGGAGAATGGCTGGAACCTGCGGGNAAATTAGCTGGGGGTAGGGGGGGTGGGTGGTGTCGTGTGCCTGTCATCCCAGCTACTCGGGAGGCTGAGGCAGGAGAATGGCTGGAACCTGCGGGGGTGGAGGTTGCAGGGAGCTGAGATGATGCCACTGCGCTCCAGCCTGGGCGACAGAGCGAGACTCTGAGACTCCGTCTCAAAAAAAGAAAAAAAAATTTATATATATATATAAATCAGGCTGTGAACTCCAAGAGCCACCTTTGGAAAGGTGGACACATATACAGGCTTAAGCAGAAATCTTACAAAAATCAGAGTGGGGAGAAATTCCACCCAGAGAGGCACCCCCCACCTGGCTGTCTTCCTGGTTAAGGAAGGTGGGATGTGTGGGCCTGAGTGTCAGAGATGGGATAGAGCCTTGGGGACCTGGTGTTCTGGGGAGAGAGGATTGGGGAGCTGCTGTCCCGGGGGGAACCCATGCCCTTTTCACCAAACCCCCCAAGTGCCTGAGGGCCTGGGGCGTCTGCCCGGCTCCTGGACCCCGTCCTGGGCTGTGCACCTCTGAGCTGGGGACACCCTGCTCAGCTCGCAGCTGACTTGGGAGGGAGCGCCGCTGGGATTCCTTGGCCCAAGGGGTCAGGAGTCAGCTGCGGAGCCCAAGCTTCTCGAGGGCACCCCTCTGCCCTGGCTCAGTGTGGGGATTGCATGGGGGGCATTTGGGAAGTGCGTGGAAGGAGGTGCGGGGTCGCGGGAGAAGAGGGCGCAGTGCCCACGTGTGCCCTGGCTGGACACAGCAGGGCTCCGCTTCGGTTTCCAGTTTGGGGGTTCAGAGTGCAAGCCTGTGTGGAACGGGGTTGGCGGGGCTGGCAGGGGGAACGCGTGGCCTCCGTTCTTGACCGTTTTATTCCAAAGGGACAGGTCGGGGGTTTTTATTTGGGTGCTTGTTTGCTGAAAGACTTCAGGTCCCAGACGTCTGGCCTCTGCCTCTGCTGGCTGAGGGTGGAGGGCTTTGGGGGTGGCGGCTGGGAGCGGCAGGTATAAACGTATAAATCATAAATGAACAATTCAGAAACGGACCCAAGTGGGAGCTCTCCAGGTTTCCACGGCTCAGGCCGTAAGGACGGGGGTCCATATCCCTCCTGTTCTCCCCTCCCGGGCACGTGGCCTCCAGGCTGCAGACAGAGCCCACCTCTTGCACAGTCTCTGGGACTCAGGACCCAGTGAAATGAGGCCGCTGGGGCCCGCAGGCCTGCCTGGCTTTGCGCAATGAAGCCTTGGGGAGCTGGAGTCCCCAGGAGAGGCTTGGGGACCTGACGTCACTGGGGGAGACACTTGGGGACCTGGTTTTCCTGGAAGAGGCTTGGGGAGCAGGTGTCCCCCAGAGAGGCTTGGGCAGCGGGTGTCCCTGGGAGAGGCTTGGGGAGCAGGTGTCCCCGGGAGAGGCTTGGGAGCGGGTGTCCCCGGGAGAGGCTTGGGGACCTGATGTTGCCGGGAGAGGCTTGGGGAGCGGGTGTTCCCGGAAGAGGCTTGGGGACCTGGTTTCCCCGGAAGAGGCTTGGGGACCTGGTGTCCCCCAGAGAGGCTTGGGCAGCGGGTGTCCCCGGGAGAGGCTTGGGGAGCAGGTGTCCCCGGGAGAGGCTTGGGAAGCTGGTGTTCCCTACTTGGGGCGGTGGGGTGAGCTGATGTTCACACCCCAATCCCGGCAAACAGAGCGCATCTGGAACTCCCTGGTGGGCGCCCGGATGTGAACCCCACTCCAATGCGCTTTGCGGGGACCTGTTTGGATTCTCCTGGCCCGGCTGGTCCCGAAGGCAGCGCCAGCTCTGGGCCAGGGGGAAAGAGGACAGTCGGGTGGGGGGTGGTCTGCAGAGTGGGAGAAGGGGTGACGCTCCCCAGGGGAGAAGAGACGCGTTCTGGGGCTGCCGGGGGTACGGGGAGGGTCCCCCAGCCCCCATCGTGCGCCCTCACCGCGCCCGGGTCCGCTCCGCAGGTCCAGGCTCAGCTGCAGCTGGAAGGCGTGGCCCACGCGCACCCGCACCTTCACCCGCACCTGGCGGCGCACGCGCCCTACCTGATGTTCCCCCCGCCGCCCTTCGGGCTGCCCATCGCGTCGCTGGCCGAGTCCGCCTCGGCCGCCGCCGTGGTCGCCGCCGCCGCGAAGAGCAACAGCAAGAACTCCAGCATCGCTGACCTGCGGCTCAAGGCGCGCAAGCACGCGGAGGCCCTGGGGCTCTGACCCCAGCGCGCGGTCCCCCCGCCAGCGTTGCGCGCCTCCGGACCCTGGGGCTCCGCGCACCCCGCCTGCACCGCGTCCTGCACTGCACCTCCCCTGCGAAATCCTCCCACCGCCCGGAGCCAACGCGGCCCTCAGCGCTCCTGCAACCTGGGGGCTCCCCAGCGCGCCGGCACCCGTGCGCTCCTGCAACCCGGGGCTCCTCAGTGCTCCAGCACCCGTGCGCTCCTGCAACCCGGGGGCTCCCCAGCGCGCCGGCACCCGTGCGCTCCTGCAACCCGGGGGCCCCTCAGTCCACCTGCACCCGTGCGCTCCTGCAACCCGGGGCTCCTCAGTGCTCCGGCACCCGTGCGCTCCTGCAACCAGGGGGCCCCTNGGCTCCTCAGTGCTCCGGCACCCGTGCGCTCCTGCAACCAGGGGGCCCCTCAGTCCACCTGCACCCGTGCGCTCCTGCAACCCGGGGCTCCTCAGCGCGCCGGCACCCGTGCGCTCCTGCAACCTGGGGGCTCCCCAGCCCACCTGCACCCGTGCGCTCCTGCAACAGGGGGGCTCCTCCTTGCTCCTCCACCCCGGGGGCTCCTCAGCGCACCATGGTGGCACCCGCGTGCTCGTGCAATCCGGGGGCTCCGGCAAGAGACCTGGGAAGGGGTCTCCTGGGACGGTCCACGCACGACCCAGCCAGACCCTCGCGGAGATGGTGCAGAAGGCGGAGGGGGTGAGCCGCCGTGCGCCCTGCCCGGCCCCTCTCCAAGGCCCCGCGTGCGTCCTGGGACCCTGGAGAAGGGGAACCCCACCTGGCTGCGTCTTCCTCCGCTGATCCCCTCCATGCATGCGGCTAACTACATACGTTTGGAAGATCCTAGAGTCGAGGAAACTGCAAAGGTCCCGGGGCTGGTCTCCGATGGAAACGCCATTTCTTCGTTGCCAAGGATTTTCTTCACTGCCATATACACCCTCCCTCGTCCAAGGAGCTGCAGAACCGGTGTGGATCTGAATGTGGACTTTGGAACCTCAGGAGGCAGGGGCTGGGGTCCCCTCCACCGCCCCCCACCCTCCCAGGCAGCAATAAGGAAACCGTTCTCTGGCTGAGGCTGAGGACGCGAACCGGGGCTTGGAAGGGGACAAGGGGACGGGAGGGAGACTCGAACCTCCCACGTGGAGACTCCCACCTTCCGGGGACCTGACTGAGGAGCATGAGGTCCGCCAACACAGCAGGCCCCACAGCACTGGAACGGGTCGGGGTCCCTTGTGCCACAGAAGAGGCGACTTGACAACTTTTTGCAGTATTTGGTTCCCAATCGACTGGGTTTTGGTTTGGTTTGGGTTGGGTTTTTTTTTTTTTTTTTTTGCTGATTTGCAGAATTCAGACGCAAATGACTTGCCTGAGATGTGGACTCGTGGTTTGAAGGTATCATACTGGTGCAGAATTTACTTTTAGTGAAATGCAATGAAGTGCAATATTATAAATATTATAGATTTAAAAGAAAAAAAATAAGAGCACTCTTGACCCCATCAGCGTCTGAGGTGTAAAGGCATGACGTCTTTTCGAAGCGCTGGCCACCCGGCCACTCGGGGCCTGTGGCAGAAATCATGGTGTGGACATTGCCCTGGGTGCCGTGCAGTCTTTCCACGGCAGTCTTTCCTGGGTGCCTGTGGCTGTGTCTTTCCAAAGGGGATTAAAGAGATCGGGGGTGTCGGGATGTGAGTTTGGTACATGACCTGTAAAAGCTAGGGACAGATCCAGGGACTTGGAAGGTCTTTGCAGATATAAGTGCTTCCAACTTGTAGGCTCAGCATCCTCCTAGATTTTTCTTTCTGTTTTGTTTTCTGACACAGAGACGTGTTACGTGGCCCAGGCTGGAGGGCAGTGGCGCGATCTCGGCTCACCGCAACCTCCGCCTCCCGGGTTCAAGCCATCCTCCTCCCTGGGCCTCCTGAGTCGCCGGGATGACAGGCACCCGCCACCACGCCCGGCTGATTTTTTGTATTTTTAGTAGAGACGGGGTTTTGCCCTGTTGGCCAAGCTGGTCTCGAACTCTTGACCTCAGGTGATCGGCCACCTGGGCCTCCCAGGGTCCCCCCCCCCCCCCGTTTTATAAAGCTTGAATAGCAACCTGCCATCCCTGCTGGGGTGGTGTGGACGCTCGCTTGAAATGACCCGACCCAAAGCATTCAGGGTTCTGCACCCAGGTTTTGGGAGATCTACTTTGCATGTTCTGATTGGTTTTTTGGGAACACAACAAGGGCTTCCCGACCTCCAAGATTTATCTGCATGTTTTAGGTGCGTTCCCAGTCCACCGTTAGAAACGTTCCGTGGTCAACTGTCTCATTTCCAAACCATGCCCGCACCTTCCCGGATTCAGCCTGGGCGGTTTTCTTTCCCAGCTTCTGATTTAGATACTTCTCCCTGACCGAGCTGGGAAGAAAAAAAAAAAAAAAACTTTTTTTCCTGCCATATAAGAAAACATTTTTTTTTTTTTTTTTTGAGATGGAGTCTCGCTCTGTCACCCAGGCTGGAATGCAATGGGACCAGCTCAGCTCATTGCAACCTCCACCGCCCGGGGAACAAGCAATTCTCCTGCCTCAGTCTCCCAGAGAGCTGGGATTACAGGCACCTGCCACCACGCCTGGCTAATTTTTGTATTTTTAGGAGAGACAGGGTTTCATCATGTGGTTCAGGCTGGTCTCGACGTCCTGACCTCCGGTGATCTGCCCACCTCGGCCTCTCAAAGTGCTGGGATGACAGGCAGGAGCCACCGCGCCCGGCCTAAGAGAACACTTGCTACCTTGTCAGTGAGCTGAAATGCACCTACATTTGGACCTGTCTCAATTCTACCTTCTGATAACTCTTTATACAAACCTAAAAGCCCCTTCAACGTTTTTCCATTTAAAAAAGTTAGGACCCCTGTAAAACGGCACAGACGGAGAAAGAAGAATCACCTTCTGGTTCTTTTAACTCGGGGCATTTTGACACTTTGCCTCATTCAGTTTTCTTTTTAAAAACCTGGTAATTAAAAAAAAAAAAAAAGACAGAGAAAGAGAGGGTTTTATAGTTAAACTGAAATTTTTCTTTAAAAGAAGAATTGCATTTTGAATTTTTGAGACGTGGCTTCATTCATCAGAGTATGTAACACTTGGGAAAAGTGCTTGGTAAGGTTTGTTCATCCCGATATATATATATATATATATATATATATATTTTTTTTTTTTCTCCCCAAAATGGCTTAGAGTAGTTTTGAAAAATCGAAACCTAACCATCTGTCATAATTTCCTCCCCACAAAAAGCTGACACCACATGAGCAGAAAGACATATCCCTGGTCTCTGTAGAATCTTAACTTTTTTTTTTTTTTTTTAACGTTTTTTCTTTTTGAGACGGAGTCTCGCTCTTGTCCCCCAGGCTGGTGCGCAGTGGCGTGATCTCGGCTCGCCGCAACCTCCGCCTCCGGGTTCAAGGGATTCTCCTGCCTCAGCCTCCGGAGTAGCTGGGATGACAGGTGCCCGCCACCATACCTGGCTACTTTTTTGTGTGTTTTTATAGAGACAGTGTTTCACCGTGTTGGCCAGGCTGGTCTCAAACTCGTGACCTCAGGTGATCTGCCCGCCTCGGCCTCTCAAAGTGCTGAGATGACAGGTGTGAGCCGCTGCGCCTGGCCCGAATCAGAACTTTTAAAATAGATTTCCTGGGCCGGGCACTGTGTCTTGTGCCTGTAATCCCACCACTTTGGGAGGCTGAGGCGGGTGGATCACGAGGTCGGGGGTTCAAGGCCAGCCTGGCCGAGATGGTGAAACCCCGTCTCTACTAAAAATACAAAAATTAGCAGGGCATGGTGGGGGGGCGCCTAAAATGTCAGGTACTCGGAGGCTGAGGAAGGAGGATCACTTGAACCCGGGAGGTGGAGGTTGCGGTGAGCCAAGATGGCACCACTGCGCTCCAGCCTGGGTGACAAGTGCCAGACTCCGTCTCAAAAAAATGGGCCCCCCGAAGCAGAGGCAACCCCGAGGACTGGGTGCGTGGAGTGCTTGTTTCTGTTCAGCCCGGCGGGGTCTTCCGCTTTTCTCCCCGGAGAGAAGTTGGGTGACTTTCTGTCGCGTGGATGGCTGGTCCCCAAAACAGTGTGGGGTACATGTGGGCGAGCTGCTTCTTTGTCACCGAAACTGCGGGACGGAAGGAAGTGAGATTTTCAGCTTGGGCTGGGAGCAGTTCCCGCCTCCAACGCCCCATTCTTTCCTTCCTTCCTTCCTTCCTTCCTTCCTGCTTGCTTGCTTTCTTGCTTTCTTTTTCTTTTTCTTTGTTTTTCTTTCTTTTTTCTTTCTTTTTTTCTTTCTTTCCTTCTCTTTCTTTCTTTGTCTCTTTCTTTCTCTCTCCTTTCTTTCCTTCTTTCTTTCTTTCTTTCCTTTATTTCCTTCTTTATTTCCTTCTTTCCTTTGATTCTGTTTTTCTTTCTTTTCTTCCTTCCTTCCATCTTTCTGTTTCTTTCTTTTCTCTTCTTTCTTCCCTTCTTTCTTTTTCCCTGTCTGTTTTCTCTCTCTTTCCTTCCTTCTTTCCTTCCTTCCTCTCTCTTTCTCCCTCCTTCCTTCCTCTTTCTTTTCTTT